CTTTGATATTTAAGTACGATAAAAAAATTTTGGGTGCGCTTACCATTTTTCAAAGTGTATAGTAGAAAACTAGAAACCACAAAGCTAATTATGCATTTATACAAAATACTATATTGCTTCTTTTTGTATGCAGGTTCCTTCTGATGTAAGATAACATTTTTTTTGGAAAATCAAAAAGGAAAACAAATAAAGAAAAAATATGTAGCTGAAATTTCTGTAGTTATTAGGCCACATTAGGAATGGGGACTCGTTTTGTTCCAAGTTAATTTAACTCGCTACAGTCCTGGGATATATAATCCAATGACTATAGTGAGTTAAATTTTTTTAATCTATTTGGTTCAGTGTGTTATTAACATTTATAATACTTATGTTATGTTTGAGAACTTGTCATCATAAAATGGTTCAGAATTAAGACATAACAACAATGTTCACAATGCCCTTTTCCTTTTGCCTACCAACTATGACTTCGGCTAAGGCTGAGTAGAATTTAGCAGAGTTCATGGCATTTTGGATGTTCCCCAATACAATCACTTGATTGAGCGATACCAACACAAAATGCACAAATCACATAAATGCAACACAACTTGCAATTATAATCACAAAAGAATGCATTCCTCGTAATATCTAAGCAATGCATTCCGCGTAAGCGGCCCACGCCTAGCTAGGCGCTCCCAAGATCTAGGCGGATGTCTAGGCCGCTTTTTAAAACATTGGCTGAATTGATATGCTAGCTTGACAGGCTAACCAAATTTGGCAACAAAGTACCCAGTATAGTTCAGGTATAAATGGTTTCAGTACAATGTAGACATGGACTGATAGGCTCATGCCCACCATATGCAGTGCTCTAGGCCCGCACAATGCCTTAGTCATACATTTGATCTTGTAAACATGTGCAGATGGTGCCTGGACTTGGCTACTCAGCGAAAAAGCATGCACATGTGTATCATTTCATGTGTGTATAACACAACATAAATAATCATGCTTCATGTTAGATGCTAACATATGCTTAGCAAGGTTGTTAAAATCAAATATTAAAGCAGATAAAAGGACCAAGATCATATCATCCTATTGGTGACGAAGATGCCAACTTTGATATATTGATCTTAAGATGACCCCATGACACCCAACTCCATGCTTGAGGTAACATGTCACAACATAAAAAAAGATATATTTGCCTAAGTGTGAATGTCACATGTGCATCAAAGAAGCTGTATGTGAAAGGGGTAGGGATCTGTAGTCTGCACCTTACACTAGAGTAGGTAAGGAGGAACATAGGTTACCAGGACACTTTATCTTGGCTCCCATATCTGTGTTCGTGTCTATGTCGAACACTCCTTGGACATTTCTTGAGAATATACATACATTTATGCAGACATAACTTTAAAACACTTGTGATACACTTCTTGGACATACATATTACACTTCCAATCACATTTCCGCAACTTGTTTGACTTGGATCGGGTTCATTTCAGCCCATATCATGTTTATAAAGATGATTTTAAACAATGATTTGAATATCTCGTCCAAAGTGAGTAGTTTTTCAATTGATAATCTACACAATAAAAGAAATATAAAAAAGCTATATGGACTTTTAGTTCTCATAATATGTAATAAAAAAATAATATCGATCTCATACACATTATTAATTTTAATAAGCATATATATAGTTGTGTCCTCATATGCTACATTTTACAAATTTGCTCGTGTCCCGTATCCGCAACCCTACTCATGCAACATAGGTAGGATCTAATCTTTCAATGCCTTTCTTTCTATGTACTGTAATGTCTCTTGATAAAAAAACTAAAGTGCAAACAATGTTTAAAAAAATGCGTTCTAGAATACGTTTTAACACATTTTGAAATCTAGCAGGCAGCCCTTGTTACAAAAACACACGGGTAAAATGCAAAAGTAGCTTAATGATGCAGTTTTTGGATTAACGTGCATTAAAGAACGCATTTTCATTGCGTTCCTAAAATGCACGTTAAGTTTTTTTTATTTTTTAAATGGTGGGTCCCACTTCTCATAAAAAAATAAAAGGTGAACCCTAATTTTGTGACAAGGACTCTTTATTTCCTCCTCAAGCTATGAAACCCTAATTTCGTCCCCTTTGCTAATTGACGAAGACATCGGCTGCTTAGTGGCTTATCCCGACAATGAAGAGCATCCAACAGGCTGGAGGCTATCTGGAGACGTGATTGGCCTTCGAAATCCTAGTTTCAAAGGTAATTTCTTTCTTTTTCCCACAAATTTGAGTATGATTGTCTTATTCTTAATTGGTTTTGTAAATTAGTTTAAATTGAAGTGGATTGGATTTGTGCAGTTTATTTTGCTATTTAATTTGAGTTTAAAGGTTAGGTCAAATTGTTCTTGTTAGTTTATTTTGTTGTTTAGGGTTAAGGTTAGCTATATTTACTATTATTGTAAATTAATTGGTGCTATTGTGATCCCAAAATGCCACTGTCTTGACTTCATTGTCTAGCAATTTTCCCATTGTTTGTTTTGATATGCATTGTTATTATCTGATTGCAATTTTCCTATTAGCTATGTACTTGTAGTGATCCTACAATGTGTTTTATAGCTTGTAATTTGTTACTTGTTAGTGTGATTGTGCAGTGTATTTTTCAATGGCTAAAAATCAATTCCCGGTGATAGCTTTTGGGATTTGGGATAGGGAATCAACACAGAGTCTATTGTAAATTCTGTAATCATCACATTACAACGGGTGTAACACGTTTAAAGCGCCACTTAGCTGGTAGCAAGAAAGGGGTAAAAAAGTTCGAGAAAGTTTAGGAGGCAGTGAAAAAGTCCACCTTGGTGTCCTCAAGGAAATAGAGTTAAAGATTGCATTAATTTGGTCCATTGGAAGGATGGAACACCCTAGCAATGAAGAGGAGATTGCAATCCAGGACAATGTTACATTAAACGCTGGGCGCTCCTGGGCGCCGGACTTGGCGCCCAGCGCTTAGACGCCTAGGCGGACGCCTAAGCGGTTTCTGGGCGGTTTTTTTCTTCTGGGCGGTTTTTCTTTTTTTAATTGTGATACTCTCTAGCCTGGGTTCAAGTCTGATTTCTCTCTAGCCTTCACCGCTCCAATCCTAGCAAATGAACCCTTTCCTTCTCTGTATCTCTCCAACTCTTGAGTATGAATTTCAACTTGTTGCTCTACATCAGGATAGAACAACTCCACCACATCTAGAAATCCATCTTTCGCCCTTTTGCAATTCTTCACTACATCATCCCTATAGAAATAGTAAGGGTTGAGGTAGTAAGATGCCATATGCAAGGGAGAAAAGAGCCGATCCTTGGACTTCCCATCTATAATATCAATCACGGGCTTGAAATCCTTCTCCTTATTCTTGAAAACTTGAATGATCTCCTTTTTCATATCTTCAAGCATCCCCACCACAAATCCCATTGAGGGTTTGTAGTCACTATCGACTACCCTCAACAATCGAAAAATAGGAGCATACACCTTCAAGATCTTGGCCACCGCCGTCCACCAACTATCACTCATAGCAATCGCCTCCACCTTAGCGCCTTTAGCGGTCTTTGCAAGCTTGCATCTCACCCATGCTTCATCGGAAAACATAAATCTCAACTTCCCTTTCTTCTCAAGAAGACTCCGCAGAGTCAAAAATGTAGTGGCGAAACGAGTAACTCCAGGTCTCACAATGTCCCTTTTGTCACAAATGCGACGCATCATAGACAAAGTCTTGTGATGACTATAGATAAAGATGGTGAGGGTCCTCGCCTTCTCAATTGCTCCTTTGAATAAACTCAACTTCCCGATGCTTTCAAGCATCAGGTCAACAGTGTGGGCTGCACAACTAGTCCAAAAAATCCTCGGCCTCCTCCTATATAAAAGCTCCTTCGCGGCCATATTTGCAGCTGCATTATCCGTGACAACCTGAATGACTTTATCAGCTCCAATCTGCTCAATAGCCGTATTAACCCACTCAAATATATATTGTCCTGTATGTGCTTCCTCTTTGGTTTCAATTGACTTATGAAAAGTTGTCCCCAATCTGCAGTGGATGCAAAGATTCATTACCGATCGCATCTTTCTGTCCGACCAAGCATCAGTCATAATGGAACATCCAGTCTTGCCCCACTCCTCCTCATGCGTCTTTAAGGAGACTTTTGTTCTCTCAACAGCTCTTCGCAATAAGGGCTCCCTCAACATGTACATACTGGGAGGCCTGTAGCTCGGTCCATAATCTCCAATAGCCATGCATGCCTTCATAAAAGAATCCGTGGAGATGGCATGAAAGGGGATGGCATTTTCATATGCCCAAGTAGCTAACTGATCATGCACCCAATCTCTCTTCTCCTTCAGGAAAGAATCCTTCACTCCCGTCTGCTTCATTTTTCCTTTCAACCTTTTCGTTAGCTCTGGATCACTAGCGGTATAAGCGTCCATCGGCCCAACAGTAGGCTCTCTAGACCTCTTTGAAGATCCATCGCATGTGGAAGGAGAGATGATTTCATTTTCATCTTTTTCTTCATCACACGGCCTCGTCGTATGAAGTTCTTCTTCTAAGTCTATAGTGTGCCTCTCCTTAGCTTGCTTCTTCTTCGAATTAGCATCAATGACTTCTTTCACCCTCTGCTTATCTTTTTCACTAATCTTCAAACATGGTTTGGTGTCCCCCCTCAACCCTGCAAGATGCTTCTTAAATCGATGGATACCCGCATTCACCTTATGCCCACATAGTTTGCATTGCACAATATTCAAATTTTTTGGGTCCGGACAAAATCCAAACTCCCAACCAATGTCTCCTGAGTTCCTTCTATCTTTCACGGGGGGTACGGGGATATTGGTGGAACCCGTAGACTCCTTCGCTGGAGCACCCGACATTCTGAAATAAATGAACAAACAAATCATTCATATACTTAAAATTAAACTTAAACAATCAAACAGTTAAACTTAAAATTAAACTTAAACAATCAAACAGTTAAACTTAAAATTAAACTTAAACTTAAATAATAAATATAGTTAGACAGATTCAATTTGTAATTCTTAAAACAGAATCTCAAAACAAGAAATATATAAACTCTCACATGTGTAATTTTCCTTACTGTTAACTTATTTTTGTCGATCAAAAACTGCAATTTCATTCGTTATTTTTGCAACTTCAAAAACTGCAACTAATTATTGTTCTATTTTATAGGTCAAAAACTGCAACTTCAGTCGTTATTGCTGCAAATCCAAATGTAGGGAGCATGAATATTATAGTTTCAGCACTCAACTCAATGCAGATACACAATTATAGCATGTATTGTTGTAAGCTTTGAACAAATGCAGAGGATGAACTGAACATGACAAAAACAAATGTAAGGAGCATAAGTCTGTTGTGGACCGTGGCGATGCATATTTTGTTGTACTGCACTCGGATACTTTTTTATTTGAAATAGGAAAATTAAACTTAAACAATTAAACAATTAAACTTAAACAATTAAACTAAATAACAAATATGCAGATTTTGCCTTTTTAAACTTAAACAATTAAACAGAAACATCAGTCAAACTTAAACAGTAATAAGATAAGAATCTATCAAACCTAAACCAATCAACACAGATTTTGCCTTTTTTAAACTTGACACAAGTAAGCAACAGACATAAGTAAGCAACCAACCCAATAAAAAATAAAAATTAACAGAACATCGGCCTGCAATTATGAAATTATGGGTTTTCGAAAGCTTAAGAGCACAGCCGAACTACTCGTGTTTTACTTACTGTGAAGAGATAAGAAGTTGGAGATGAGAACGACGAGCTCGAAGATGAGCTCACAGGTTGAAGAGGAGCTCGGAAGTCCAGGACCACGTTGAAAACGAGCTCGGAAGTTAAGCTCGAAGAAGATCTCCCAGGTTGAAGACGAGCTCGGACGACGAGGTTGAAGACGAGCTTGGGTTTTGGGTTGAAGACGAGGTTGAAGATGAGCTTGGGTTGAAGACGAGGTTAAAAACGATCTCTGAGGACGAGCTTGGATTCGAAGAGGACGAGCTTGGGTTAAAGACGAGGTCGAAGAAGACGAGCTCGAAGAAGACGGAAGTTTTTTCGCTGGCGGCGTCGGGTGAAAGGGATTTAGGTTTTACTTTTGAATTGGGTTTTGGGTTTTGGGGTTTTGGGTTTTGGGTTTTATGTTTTGGGTTTGGGTTTTTGGGAGCGCTCAGCGGTATTTTGGGCTTGAAATTGTGGGGCGGGACGTGGCCGCTCAGGGCTAAGCGACACGCTCTGGGCACCGCCTCCGCCTAGGCGGGCGCCTAGGCGGCCGCCCAGAGCGTGTTTTACAACACTGATCCAGGAGATGAAAAGCGAACATGGAAGCAATAACCAGGTCCAAAAGTCTCGAGCATTTGGTCCATTTGACCAATTTGTCAATCTTCAAGGTCGTCAAATGAACTAGCACAAAATAGAACAAAGGGAAGAATGGTAAAGAAAATTGGCCGCTATATATTTGGCAATGGGCTTCCATTCTATACATTGAATAGTCTGTATTGGAGGGAGATGATAGAGGAAATTGGAAAGCTTAGGCCTGAATTAAAGCTTCCTTCTCCTTATGAAATGAGGAAAAGGGTGTCAAAGAATAGAGTGGAGGGGATAGATGCTATATAGGAGATAGATGTTATTATAGGAAACTCACAAGGCGGCTAGGGGAAAATATGGGTGCACTCTTATATCCGATGGGTGGTCAGATGGGAAGAGTAGAAGTTTGGTCAACTTTCTTGCTAACTCGTCAGAAGAGACTTTTTTGTACAACTCCATTAACGCTTCGGTGTCCATTAAGAGTGGAGACTATCTTTCAGTGTCATGATAGCGTGGTGCAGATGGGGGAGCTCAATGTTCTGCAAGTCATCACGGGCAATCATGCCTCTTTATGTAAATGCCGGATCGAAGCTTATGGAAAAGAGTAAGTCTCTTTATTGGACACTGTGTACAACGCATTGCATAGATCCTATGTTGGAGGACATAAGAATGATGAAGATACATCAGGAGACTCTTGAGGTAGCAAAAGGAGTTATCCAGTTCATCTAGAATCATTACTGGGTCTTGAGTTTGATGAGGAAGTATATGAGTAGGAAGGAGCTATTAAGGCCTCTGCCATTACTCACTTCGCCACTTCTTTCTTAACATTACAGAGGTTGTATTTTTTAAAACAATATTTGAGAAACATGTTCTCTTCCGAGGAGTTTCTTAGGAGCAATTGGGCAAACAAGCCATACAAGATGAAGGCAAATGATGTGGTTCTCTACTCTAGAGTATTTTGGGGCCGTGTGATACTTTGTTTTACTACCACACTTCCACTGGTGTAGGTCCTCTGAGAATTGGATTCCGATGTGAGGACTTCTATGCCATTTTTTTATGAGATGATGGATAGCATGAAGAAAAAGATTGCAAAGGCATGTGATGGGACAAAGAGGAAGTATATATCCTATTGAAAGTTGATTGATGCGAGATGATAGGGGGTGTTGCATCAGCCTATTTACACTGCTGTTTACTACCTTAATCCTAGATATTTATATGGAAAGAATTTTAGCAAGCATCCGAAAGTGGGGATAGGAGTTATCCAATGCATGGCTTGGCTCACATGATTTCTGATATTGACAAAAGAGCACAAGCTGATATTGAGTTGGATGCTTATAAGGAGAAGACTAAAGAGTTTGGATCTCAATTAGCTCAGAGGACTGTTGCTAACCGTAATCTAGGTAATAATTTATGCAATTTTAATAAAGGTGTCTAGTTGATCAATATTGGTGTTCTATCGTGTTAATTTCTTATTTTTAAATGTATACTAGCTTCTTGGTGGGAGAGATTTGGTGAGGACACTCCTATACTGCAATGGTTAACGATTCGTGTTTTGTCCCTCACTAATAGTGTACTTGGATGCGAGCGTAATTGGAGCACTTTTGAGCAAGGACAATTTTGGTTTTTAAAAGATAACATAACATCTTCGTGCCTAAGAAGCTTACAAAATTTTATCATTAAATAAAGGTCCACTCAAAGAAGAGTTATTGTCTGGAGCAAGAACGTCTGTCATATACAACATGAAGTTAAGAAAGAAACATGAGGAATGTGTGAAAGATAGATCCAATTTTGTTGGAGGAGGCATCTCCTAATGATGAGTGGATGAGTGGTGAGCAGAGGCGGAGGAGCCTTGGCTTCCGGACATCTGGTTGGCTAAATGGTGATGATGGAGACAAGGAGTATCTTGACATTGTTGCAATTGATAATCTAGCTACTACAGAAGATAAGAAAGATGCTCCATCGGTGAAGAAACAAAGAGCACATAGTTCTTGTAAGCTTTTTATAAAATTTTCAATATTAAAATTATTTAAATAATTATTTGAGATTTTAATGAAAGTTATTTTCGCAACATCCTCTGCACAAAAAGAAAAAGGAGTTACTACTGAAGATGTAGGCATCGAGGATCATTTTGAGCCGAAGAATGCATACATCATTCTAAATGAGGACAATTTTGAGACATTTAGTTGCTTTAGGATAGGGAATAGAGTGATGGATCTAGTATATTAGTACTCTCTTTCTTTGTATGATTTAATAAAACTTGAGACTTGAGAATGTTATTGCATGTTTTGTTTCAAATTTAGACATACTTCGAAGGGTTTTTTAGATATTAGCCCCTTAAATCATAGCTATTTTGTATTAATCCCTCAAGTATTCATATTTTGACATAGTCTCCCAAATACCATTAGTGTTTTGATCTCAGTTCCTTTGTTGACTTTTCTGTTGAAAACACCCAACCATGGTTAGATTTAGCTTAACTATATATGGTTAATTACCTAAATACCATCACTATTTAAATCCCTCAACACACCAATTCCCCTCCCCACATCCCCTCTCTCTGTCTCTTCTTGTTCATGCTCCCTTTCTTTCTTCTCCTCTAATCTAGAACCCTAATCCTAATCTCTAAAGCCTAGGGAAGAAGAAGAAGAAGAAGAATAGTATTAATCATGGTTGTTGGTTTTAAAATTCCTCTTTCCCCTCCCATGATCTCCAGTAAGATTTCTTGTAGAGAATTGTATTCGCTCATCTCTTTCTCCTCTTTCTCCTTCTCCTCAATAATAAAGAACAAGAACACCTCTTGTTCTTTGTCCCAATTATCACTAGGTCTTGAGAGCTCCACCTCATCGATAGAGACCACAACTAAGGCTGAACATCAACAATAAGAAATGAGGGCAATGATGCAGATGCAAATACTCCATGGAAGGAAATATAATTTCTCAATCCAGAGGTGGAGGAAAATGACAACATCAATTCAATCTCAGAGCAGGAACTTGATTTCTGCTCTCACCCTATACTTGACAAAAGGGAGAAAAGGGGGGAAATATCGGAGCTAGCGGTCTGCGACACTAGGTGGAGAGGGAGTTGAAGGGGTCGTTAACAGTGGATTTAAGGGAGAGGAGAGCCAGGGATTGAAGAGGGATGGAGAGGGTTGAGAGGAGAGAGTAGGCAAGAGAGAAGAGAGAGAAAGTCATGGCAGTGGTAGTGATGATGGAAGTGGTGATGAGAGGTGAATTTAAGAGTGAGGAGAGGAGGGAGGAAGTTTATGATTAGTTCAGTTGGGGATTTACATAATGAGTTTTGCAGACTGAATATTAAAGAGGTATTTGTCCTTTGCTTTTCTCTATCTTTTTCTTTTTTAAGTACACCAAAGTACTTCTCTAGGTAATGTTACAGTTGGGGACAAAGGGAGTTGGCTTTCTTAATGGGTCGGGTTGAGTAACTTAGTGGGTTTGGGTTATGGTAGGTGAGGGACATAACTATCCATAAATACTAAGAGTTAAAGATAACATAATATTTCATAGTATATTTAACCCAACTGACAACATGGACTAATATGAACATAACTAGCGATATTTGAGGAACTAATATCAAAGTATGAAGATTTAAGGGAGTAATATCAAAATAGCTATGATTTAAGGGACTGATATCTAAAAACGCCTATTTTGAAATGGTCGTTAAGCTTATACAACTTACTTTTTGTTTAGAAATTATGAATTTATGATATGTTTGAGAATTGTAAAGACTGATGATATGTTTGAATTTTAAGCTTTGAAAATTGTGATGAGTCTAGTTATTTGCATCTATTAAATATTAAATAATTAACAAATCACTTAACCTACATTAAGTGTTACGTTATTTTCCTTTTACTTAACAAAAGGTGAGAGTTGCGTTATGCGCTTATGTTTTTTCAACATTGGGTGCAAATATCACCAGACAACACGTGGAAGAGTAGACTTGATGAAGCATTTAAAGAAAAATGCATTATATACTTGTGAATGAAACACCCATAATGTTTGTTCATACATGATCTAACTTTCGCACTGATGTCTATTTTTTTTTTTAAATGCACATTCCACATGGACTAAATTATCCTGAACTAATTTAGTAGGCAAATGATAATCTTAAAGATTTCCTTCAATATGGACATAATGTGTGTGATTCCTCCCATACCACTTTATCATCAGTTTTCCCCTTCTTAATTTACTAATCCTAATAATCTTGTATGAGCAATGAAAAGAGGCTAGTTAAGAGTTTTAGGGGGGAAGGCGATTCAATAAAATCAAATTGAACAAAGTGGAAGAAGCTCTTAATCATTATAGGGCACACAGCGTCTAGAGACACTATCATTTTATTTTATTTTTTTGGTAAATCTCTTACCTCTTTTCTCTATAGTAAATTCCCCAAGACTCTATATTCTATTCTATATTATTTTTTTTAGCTTGAGTTGACTAGGATAATACGATAGTTTTTCTTGTGCACCAAAAACACTAAGGAAAAGAAAAGCAAACAAAAGGATCCAATTACACATATATACATAGGAAATATATGACATAATATAGAACATTTGACGAACATGGAGCAAATGATAAGTTTCACATGCCTGTAAAATAGGATTTGGTCGATTGCAAAAACAATCTTCAACTTTGAGAACGGTGTCTCTTCCTCTGGAACCAAATATGATTGCCACGAATCGTCTATCACAACATAAATTTGATGTTTCAGAATATTGATAACAATAAAATCATGATGGTTAACAAGAAACAAGAAGAGAGATGGTGTTAACTGGTCAACACTCGAAGGATCTCGAAAAGCATTTTCTGTTTTCTGATTTCACTTCTGACCAGTTTTGTTTCAGGCCTTTTCCTCTTCTATATGTAACTATTAAATACTAATGTCATGACAAGCTGTAAGGTAAACATGATTCTTATTGCAAAGGGTAACAGTTGGAGATGGATTCACTAATTTTCCTAGAGTCCACATATGACACAAAATGGGAACATTATAACTCAGTTATTTACCTTATCCTCTTTCCAGTCTGGGACTGAATCCTAGAGCATGTTTGGAGTTTTGTATTATAATCCCGGGTTATAATCAAAGTTGTTTGGTAAATTTAGTGGATTATAATTTGTTTTCAATAGTAGAGTGTTTGACTGGATTGTAATCCATAATAGTTGTCAAAATGACCAAAAAAGACAAGGGATAGGAGAGAGAATTGCGTAATACGTGGGGCTTGGGATTTTGTAAAATTATGAGGGGTACATCTAGCTTTTACACGATCAAACCTTATAGATAATAATCCACTTGCAAAACATCCAAAAGTGGATTATAATCCTCTTATAAAAAAAGTGGACTATCATCCACTTTCGTAGATTACAATCCACTTTGACCACTTGCCAAAATGCTCCTAATCCTATCCATTGGCAATTCCAACAGCACTTTAAACTGAATGGAGGCAAGCAACTTCGAAGCAACCTATAGGAGAATGAGTTGAACAAACTAACATAATGGACAATGTTATAGTGTTCCAATAACACCCCCTCAAACTTTCAGTCGAGTACCACTTATTGAGGCAATTGACCACAGAGGGTGATGAATTCACTAACAAAATAGAGCAAGGTGGTTAGATTATTACCCTTGTGAATTCTCAACAGAAATAGATTCACACTAGATTTCCCATGAAACAGGCTGTTCCCCCTGATTCCCTGCAGGCAATAGAAATTTATTCCCCCTCAAACTGGGATGGAAACTAGGGGAAGGAAATTCCCTTACCTTCCCTTCTCTTCTCTCCCTTATTTCGCTTAACTTCCCCTACCCCAATGAGATCCAAACACGGACGTCGCCCAAAAATATAGATATATACAACTATAAAAATGTTTTGACCATGGAATATCTATATGATAATAAAAATAACTAAGCATTACTTTTTTAAACATAGCATCATGCTTTTGAATTGTCCCTTGCATCTTGAGGATGAGGATTTGGCATAAAAATGGGAATTGGAGGATGTTGTGGTCGTTGCAAGGACGTGCAGTGAAATATAGCGAAAGATGTAAACAAAACTAAGTCTAAGCATTTGAAATGTTCAAATGAAAACTATGAATCATGAATGAAGTAATCATTCATTCTGCCAGAATGCCAGGTAAATTAAGCAGATACAAGCAGCACAAAACACTTTTGTGTTTTCCGTATACCTTCTAGGATTTTCCATGACAGTATGTGTATCTTGTCTAGGGGTGAGCATTAATGCGCATTATTCGCTTCAGCAGTAAAAGGGGGAAAAAAACTCCAAGTTCACGTCATAACTATTAAGTATTAACCATTAAAAATTTGTTTTTATAATGTCACGAAAGAGCAAACCTTTCACATAGCTTACCACTAACTCCTCAAAACCCAGAAAGAAAATGGTCTTTTTTATTCTTTTTCTAACTTCTTTCCATCTAATCTGAGGTTTCACTAAAAAAGTTGGTAATTTGTTCGAATCTCGACATCAAATCTCATCATAATAATTGAAGAACTGAAGACAAATTAAGGGGGAAGGGAGGGATCGTGAATCTTACAAGAAGTAATCGTAGGCGCCGTAGGTGATGAAGTAGTGGATTCGCTCGATCAAGGTTCCTTGAAATATGGGCCATTGCCCGCAGAGCAAGGAGATCACCACCACGGCGGTGATCAGTCCGTGGGCCACCAGAGCCCACTGAAGCCCCATCTCTCTCTCTCTCTCTCTCTCTCTCTCTCTATCTCTCTGAGTCGATGATCGATCGATGATTCGACGATCGACCAGTGAACCGGGGCTTTGATTTTTTATTTATTTATTTAATATTTGGACGAGAACGAGAGGGCCAGTAAGAGAAGAAGAAAAAGAGACGGGGGCGAAAATGTAATAAAAACAGGCTCAAGTTGTTGGACGGGTTAACACTTGATGGCAATTTAGCACTTAAATAAATGCATTGAGCTCGGTTTGGCAAGGCGTAAGAAAGAGAGATTAAGAAGAACGGCGAGTCCATTCAGTAATATGAACAGTGATTTTTTTTAAAATCCATCAGGACACTCTTTGTGGTTATTTTTTGTGTTTGTAAATAAAAAAGGATTATGACCCCTTTATTTATAAAGAGAGGACTTCTCTCTTCATCCGTCTAAATGGATGGATTTGTAAACCCCTAAGTTTGAGGTATTAACTCAATTTTGTGTCTAGCAAATTACGAAGTATTAACTTAGCTTACGTCCTGTGTAAATTTTTTGTGTTTAGCAAGCTAAGAAGGGATTTTACTCTCCGTAATCTCTCACTTAACTATTTGTCAAATGAGGCCTTATAATTTTACTCACTTTATACTTCTGCATCCTCGGTAGTTTTTCATGGCATTTATATACCCATAATTTTGTAAAATTGTATGTTGCTACCTTATAGTATGCTATTGGTACGTTATAGGATGCAAGCTTGGAAATTTTTATTCCAATGTTACCTTATAATATTCTGTTAGGAATATTAGCTGTTTAGACAATAACGAAAATCAGTTTAAGCAATTTAATAATTAACAGATAATCACTATTATAACACAGATATAAGAAATATATCAAATGAAAAGTAAATAAAGTTAGAAATACGGCCTGATGATCGAGGCGTGCAAGCACTGTCCCAAGAATCTAATTGCCCCCTCTCGTACAGGGCTACGTGGCAAAAGTTCCCGGAGATACAACGACCCTCGGTCAGGCGACCTCCTTCTCGTCGGCACGAGCTTCAAGAAGGCTTTGCGAATTCTTCTAGACTTTCAGGGAACCAACAGAATATAATAGCAAATATTTTGAAAGAGAAGAAGAGAAGAGAAATTCGTTTGTAAATCTGTGTCTTTAGCCCTCGGCAGGTGTTGGTTTTTATAGGGGAAAAACAGCCGTTACAAATCCCGCGGATTTAATTCTCATAAAAACTCGATTCAGTTTTAATTACCGATTTAATAAAAATCCGTTTTGATTTTAATTACCGATTTAATAAAAATCAGTTTTAATTACCGATTTAATAAAAATCCGTTTTCATTTTAATTACCGATTTAATTCTCATAAAAATTCTTTTTCCGTTTTGAATCTGGTTTAAATATTACCGTTTCAAATAAATTTTCCATTTTGAAAATAAGATCCACATTGAACACGTTTTAATTGTTTTAATTTGCAAAAAATAAAAAATAAAAATATAGCGGATCAAGAGCCCCTCACTCCGAAGCTGCATTCGTGTCCGCAGGTCGTGGGCGCGCGCCACCCGACCCGAGCCCGGCCCGGCCGGCGCGCGCGTGTGTGCTGTGGAACATAACCTTTTATTTTCTTCTAGGCATAGGAGAGAAAGGGAAGGCTTATAAAGACTCTTCCTTCCTATTCCATTTCCTATGTGGAACTAAACTTTTCCTCTTTTCCTCTACAAACTCAAGTTTTAAGTTACAACTCCAACATATTCAGATATTAATTTTAGAGGTTTTAGCCTTTAATATTTGTTATAAATACTATTAGACCTATTAAAATTCTAATTTAAATGTATCATAATTCTATTTTAAAGATAGAATTCAAATAGGTTTTATAGATAGAATTCAAATAGGTTTAACATTAAATTCAACAAAGATTTTTCCATGTTAATCACCTTTAAAATAGGGTTATCATATAAAGATCACCTTATAAAGCTCACAAAAACCACCTGTAAAGGGTTCCAACTGCTCTTAAACACATTAACATATTTTCGGATGAAGTTTTGAATAAAATTTTCAAAATCACACTACTTGTAGAAGTGTGAATTTAGAAAAATCTTGTCTTGGTTAATATTACCGAAAGTGTGAATTAAGAAAAATCTTTTCTTGGTTAATAGTATTATTGATCCTTTTGAATAATTACATTCTAATCGTAGTTTGTTTTATAGGGATTAGTTAGAAAATGAGGTCTGTTTGATCACAATTTTAAATGCCGGTCTTAATTAAAATCCTATCCCTAATGAATAAAACCTCTCTTGAATCCTTAATTCCAACTAAGTACTTTATTCCCCTACAACTCTATCTCTAAACATATATTATGTCTATATATATTTTCACATAAAGTCCAAAACCCCATGACCACTCTCCTTAAGCCATAATTTTGATGCTACATGTATTTGTGCGTTTTGCATATGAACCATTTCCAAATTCTGAAATTGCAATTATAATCCTAACGAATTCTAAACTATAAGTTTATGTTTATATGCGAACTTTTTATTAAATAATCCTATCCATTAGAATAGTGATTTCTTATTTAAATAAAGATGAAATCTATAATCCTATCATAATTAGGAGATATGATCGCTCCTTAGATTGGACTATGATTCAATCTAATAGGAGATTCCATTGGGCCTCCAACCTAATGGGTTTTTATCTGTTTTTAGGCCTTCTTAACATAATTAACATATAAACTAGTAGCTATACTATAACTCTTTAAAACTATAAGCTCCTCTATAATCGACTAAGGTATTTATGTTATATACGCCATATATGCCCGTATGCTAAGATGAGGTCTAACAAATGGATTGCAATTTTTAGATTTTTAAATGAATAGTCAACGTTACAATAAAGAGAGTCAAGGTGATGTGGAGAGCGCGAGATGAGTCGAGAGAGAAGATCGTAAATGGAAATGACACCACTTCTGGCAATCATTTTGATTCTTAATATATAATGTAGTGTTAAAATCTAAAGAATTGAGCCACTTCCAGATTCCCAACTAACTTGGCACCTAAACACCAGAGTTTGCACAATTCCAAAAATTGAAAATAAAATCCATGCTGCTAAACATGACATAAAGGGAAAAATGGGCTGCGAGGAATATCAGACGTTGTAAACATTATTTTTCCCTGATCGATCTAGAGGGTTGAAGAGTTACAGGAAAACAGCAAAGAAATTAGCCAGGCAGACTGACGGTCGACCGCCGCGGTCGACCGTGAACGTGCACGAAGGCTAGTAGGAGTCGGAGCTGGTGGCGGTCGACCGACGATTTTGAGCAGCCTTGAAGAGAGAATTGTTGCATCCAATTGTGGGAGAGTTGTGAGAGATCTAGAGCTTTGTTTTAGGGTTTGATCTGAGAGATTTGTAACTCTACTTGTATTCTCTGATTTCTTATAGTAAGAACTCCCCCCTCCTTGCCCCGTGGACGTAGGCAACTTGCCGAACCACGTAAATCTCTTGTGTTATTTGGTGATTGTGCTTGTTTATTTGGTTGTGATCTCTCTTGTTTGGATTGTGTGATTCGACCACTTTCGCGCCGCGCACAACAATTGGTATCAGAGCTTCGGGTTCAACTTGAGGCTTGTTTGAAAGATTCGCTGAAGAATTCCTATTTGAAGAGTTAGATCGACAACATGGGTGAAGCAAGCACATCGGGATCGTCTCTTACGAAGACGATACATAGTTTGAGCATCAATAACATGAAGATCGATGTTCCGAAGTTTGATGGTAAGATCAATTTTGGTTTGTGGAGGTGCCAGGTGATAGATGCGTTGGACGCTCAGAATTTGGAGGAGACTCTTGAGTTACAAGAGAAACATGCCGAGATGGAAGCTAAGGTTTGGAAGAAGATGAATAGTAGAGCGTGTGGAGTTATTCGGTCATGCTTAACGCCAGATCTTATTTATGATGTGATGAACGAGACGTCGGCGAAGAAGATGTGGGAAACACTCAATGAAAAGTATCTTACTAAGAGCATTGAGAATCGGCTTCACTTGAAGAAGAGGTTTTACCAGTTCAAGATGAAGAGAGGAGTTTCCATTAGGGAGCATGTTAACAACTTCACAAAGCTACTTTCAGACATGGCTAATGTGGATATCATGGTTGAGGATGAAGACAAGGCGATGCTACTTTTGTGTTCGTTACCCGAGGATGATTATGATATACTGTTAGTTACAAGGAGGTGACCTCAGCATTGGTGAATTATGAGTTGAGGAAGAGTGTGGATGAGTCATTCGAGAAGGCATCGGGAGATGCATTAGTAGTTCATGGCCGTGGTTCAAACCGAAGAAGGAGGTCACAGTCTAGAGGTGAACATCGTGGGATTCGTAGGAATCAGTGTGCCTTTTGTATAGAGGATGGACATTAGAAAGCTGAATGCCCAAAGTTAGATCGAGCCGAGAAGAATAAGGGGAAAGCTGTACAAGTTTCAGAGGTGAATGTTGTCAAGACTAGTGGCAACAATTCAGATTCGGATTCTTCGGGCTATTCATTGTCTGCACTGCCGTCAGTTTTTGTTGCCAACTCTACAGAGTGGGTGTTGAATTCGGGTGCTTCATACCACGTATGTCCTAGGAGGGATTGGTTCTCTAGCTTTCAGAAGTTGGAAAGAGAGGATGTTGTGCTCATGGGTAATGGACATGCATGCTCTATTGGTGGTATTGGTACAGTTCGTATTCGGATGTATGACGGAGTGATTTAGGAGTTGGAAGGAGTGAGGTTCGTTCCACAGCTGTCGAAGAACATCATTTCACTAGGAGCTTTGGTGGCATCTGGCTATAAAGTGACCTTGGAGGAT